GAGGCCCTTCAAGTCTGCATGACCTATCTACAGTAATCCCACTTTCCTGCACTGGAACGATATCTTTGAATTTTATGACATTTCAAGTGCTCACCCATGTACTTGTTAAAGATTGAGAGGTTTCTTGTCTCTACTGTCCTCCCAAGCAGTGCATTCCAGATTCCTGCCACCTTCTTGGTGAAAAGATTTTTCCTCCAATCATCTCTAAACCTGCTGCTGTTCACTTTAAAAATATGCCACCTCGCTATTGACCCTTCAACTAAGGGGGTCTTCAACTAACATAAACAATGTGCTGAATTCATTGCAGGTGTTGATTATTTCATTTTATGTGCATCTCCTAAATCACATTGCAAAATCTAAAAATTGATTTTTCTACTGCTAAGTCACTGTACAAATTTAAAAACAGCTGTCTCTAAAGAAATGTAAAACTATATTCTATGCTTCAGGAAACAGGAGGAACGAGTACAGCAAGTACGGAAAAAACTGGAAGAAGCTCTAATGGCAGATGAATTAGCACGAGCGGAGGAAGCAACAGAAGAAAGGCATGTGGACCGAGAGCAATATGATGCACAGGGGTGAGACTTTCATTGCAGCTTGGGTAATATCATTGAGTGGTGTAGGATGGGAGCATCTGACTGTTATTTTAGGATTATCTCCTGTTTGGACCCCAAAAAAGCAAGTGATTTGGATATCTTGGCTAAATCACTCAAGCCAATGAATTAAATCCCTCTGGATTAAGCTGTAGGATTTGTTCAGTATCTTTTAAGAAGGAAACATTATCATTACAATGGGGGAACAGGTACAAAGAACTGATTTTCATCAAAAATCAGCCAAGAGTCAATTTTGGTAAGTTTTGTGGAGGCTTTTGCTCCAAAGGCCTCAGTCAGTTTTCTCACGTTATCTTTCTAAACTCATCCCAATACCTAAGCTCCATGCCTCCACAGCACGTCGCTCATTATATTCCCCGACGCTTGCAACAGGTAGATGTACTCTCCATTGTTGGGGCATTTGTGGGTTCCTGGTGGTGATGCTGTCTTTAAAGTCCAGCTGTGCACCTGCTCAAGCTCTGGCACTCTGCAGTGGTCCTGGATGGTTGATTTTATTTGCACAAGACTGAGAGGACCTTAGAGGTTCTGCTTGATAGTTGGGTAGTGTGCATGCAGTTGCTGCTCATGGACGCGTGTCCTTAGATGTTGGTGACTAAAAGATGTCTGGGGATGCAAGCTGGGGTTACCAAGATACCGCTCTGACCTCCATGCTAGGAATTGTTGCTGTCGGGTTTCACTTCGGTGGGTAGGAGAATGAAACTGCATGTTAATGAGGTGAGATGATGTCATAATGAGGATGCTAATACACACACCAGCAAGAAGCTCATCTCACTGTCCAACTCTTGGTTGGAAAATGGGACTCCTTCCTCTTCACAGTGCAAAGCTCCTCATTGCTAGTCTCGTGCATTTCTCCCAACTTTCCCACCAAGGGGTTGGAAGATTGTCCCCACGGTGTTTTCAGTGACTTTCTTTTACTTTGATATTGCCAGGAACTTAAATGGGACATCCTTCTGAGGAACATTGTGTTAATTATATGTTTGTAAGCCATCCACGTTTCATGTGGAATATGGATCTTTTACACCAATGTTATGGACTTGGCCAGACCCCCTCAAAACATTTTACAAAGTTAGCCTAGACCCAAACTTTTCCTTATTTTAAAGGTAGCTGTGAAGTGGGTGTTCCAGGTGTGATGCAGCTGGTCAAACCACTCTGCTTTAAGCAAAACAAAATTTATTTAAACATTACAGTGCAAGCACGAACAAGAGAAAACAGAATTTAGAGTAACTTAACTATTGGAAAACCTAACTGTCCCGATACAGCAACTTAACTAATTAACTGTTCCAATACAGTGACATCCCATAAGCACACCCCTTGGCAAAAAGGTAAATTCAAACACAGATTCTTACAGGCAGGAGGGGACAACATCTAGAAAGAGATTTCAGAGAATGTTAGAGGAATCCTTTGCTGAAGCTTGCAACACTTCTGCTACTGAAAATATCTCGTGACTGCTACAGACAAAAAAAATTGAGAGAAAACCTGAACTGGCTTCTCTCTTTCCATTGTTAAACAGTTACTCCCTAAACTCTTTGGTACCTCTGCCTTTTACAACCTCTCTTCAAAAAAACTAAGGATAAAATAACCTTTTTAAAGTGACAGCATCATCACACCAATTTTAAATGACTAAAAGAAAAGAATAACTTAAGTTCAGATTAATTAAAAGTGAAAGGGGAAAACAGAATTGCTTTGAGAAGCTGGCAGATTTGTTTTTCCAGCCTAGTTATTTCACCATCAAAAGTTGGTGCCTTCAAAGGCATGCTTGAGCTTTTACCTTGAGAATAAATGTGTCATATCACTTCAAATAAATTTCCTGCTGAGGTGTTGTCAGCATTTAAATAAGATTCAACCATTATAAAATAGACGGAAAACAATTATGAAGGCTTTTTTTCTGTGATGCTTAGATTTGTGAAAATACAGCAGCACTCTTTAAATTTGCAAGAGATTGATGGTTAATCCTTGGCTATGATAATAAGCTAGTTTATAAGGGTCATTAACATTTTTTATGTTATATTCCAAAATACAATGGAATTTCTGATGTTCTCATTAAATTAGAAAGCAATGTCTACCTCCCGGATCATTTTCCATATTGAATTATTATGTCTGTGTATTTGGTGCTTAGGCCTATTTTTAGATTCAATACCAATTCTTAGATCACTTGCAAGCCAGGCTGAATATAGAAAGCTTAGAAGGGACCTGAACAAAAACAAATAAAGGAAGCTAAGAGAGACTGGCAGCTAACATAAACAGGAAATACAAAATGTTTTGTCGGCCTATAAAAGTAAAAAGATCGCAATTGGGGCCAATCAAAACTGAAAAGGGGATTTACCCATAAAGACAGGGGACATGGCTGAGGTATGAAATGGAAATTTTGCTGTGGGTCTGGGGTTGCATGTAGGTCAAACCAGGTAAGAATGACAGGTTTCTATCTCTAAAGAACATTAATTAACTGGATGAGTTGTTACAACAATGGTTACATAATTGCTATTAGGTTAGCTCCTTTATTCTTTATTCATTCACGGGATGAGGGCATCGCTGACCAGGCAGTATTTATTGCCTGCCCCTAATTGCCTAGAGGACAATTCAGAGTCAACCACATTGCTGTGGGTCTGGAGTCGCATGTAGGCCAGACCAGGTAAGGATAGCAGTTTCCTTCCCTGCAGGGCATTAGTGAACCAGATGGGTTTTTCCAACAATCGACAATGGATTCACGGTCATCATTAGACTCTTAATTCCAGATATTTACGGAGTTCAATTTCCAGGTCCCCAGAACATTATCTGGATCTCTGGATTAGCAGTCCAGCGATAATAGCACTCGGCCATCGCCTCCCCCTACTTCCTATTCCAGATTTTTTCTTTAAATTTAAATTTCACCATCTGCCACGGTAAAACTCAAACCCAGGGCATTGGGGCGGCACAGTGGCCTAGTGGTTGGCATTGCTGCCTCACAGTGCCAGGGACCCGTTTTGATTCCAGCCTTGGGAGTGTGTGTGGAGTTTGCACGTTCTCTCTCTGCCTGCCTCCGCGTGCTCCAGTTTCCTCCCAAAGTCCAAAGATGTGCAGGTTAGGTGGATTGGCCATGCTAAATTGCCCCATAGTGTCCAGGGACGTGCAGATTAGGTGGATTGTTGGTGGTAAAATTGCAGATTTACGAGGATAATAAGTCTGCATAGGATGCAGTTTCGGGGAATTAAGAGTCTAATGATAACCGTGAAACCATTGTCAATTATTAGGAAAAACCCATCTGGTTCACTAATGTCCTTTAGAGAAGGAAATCTGTCATCTTTACCTGGTCTGGCCTATGTGTGACTCCAGACCCAAAACAGTGTTTCTAGACCCAAAACGTCAGCTTTCCTGCTCCTCTGATGCTGCTTGGTCTGCTGTGTTCATCCAGCTCTGCACCTTGTTATCTTTGACTCTTATCTGCTCTCTGGGCAATTAGGGATGGGCAATAAATGCTAGCCTAGCCAGAAAAGCCCACACCCTATGAGTAAATTTGGAAAATGGTAAACAGAAATCTATCAATCTGCTTTAAACATATTCAATGACTGAGCTTCCAGCCCTCTGTGATAGAGAATTCCAAAGGTTCACAACCCTTTGAGTAAAGTAATTTCTTCTCGTTGTTTGACCTAAATAGCAAACTCTTTTATTTTTATTTTTAAGATTTTTAAACTGTGCATTCTGATTTTGACAAGATGCCACCCTGCAAATAAAAGCTGATGGTGTAGGGGTAAGTATTTGGCATGGAGAGAAGATTGGCTGGTTAACAGGAAGTGGAGAGTAGGCATAAGTGGGTCTTATTTCAGATTAGCAAGGTGTAACAAGTGGTGTGCTCAAACCTCAGACCATTTACAATTTATATAAATGACTTGGATGAAGAAACGGAAGATACATTTGTCAGTTTTACTGATGATAGGAAAGATAGGAAGGAAAGTAAGTTGTGAAGAGAGTATAAGGCTAAAAAAGATGATGGCCTAAGTGAGTCTGCAAGGACGAAGCAACTGTGAAATTGTCTGTATTGGCAGGAAGGATAAAAGAACTGCATATTATGGTGATGGTAAGAGAATACAGAGCTCTGAGGTGCAGTGTGTTCTGGATGTCCTCGTGCATGAATCACGAAAGATTAGTATACACAGGAAAACAAATGGGATGTTATCATTTCTGAAGAGGTTGCTGCACATTTATACAGGGAACTGTTGAGACCTGTCTGGAGAATTATGCATCGTACTGGTCACCTTATTTAAGGAAGAATAGAAATGTGATGGAGACAGTTTAGAAAAGGATTATAATACCTGGAATGAGAGGGGTATTTTATAAGGAAAGATTTCACAGACTAGGCTTTAATCTGCTTGGGTTTAGGAGAGAAAGAGATAATTTTATTGAAACCCAGAAAACCCTGAAGAGATTTGACAGGGTAAATGCAGAGAGGATGTTTTCTCTAATGACAGAACTTAAACCTAGGGGTCACAGTTTAAAAATCAGGCGTTGCCCATTTAAAAAGGAGATTATGGGAAATTTTTTCTTTGAAAGTTATGAGTCTTTAGAACTTTTCCTGAAAAGGTGGTGGAAGTGGAGTCGTTGATTAATTTTAAAGCAGAGATAGATAAATTTTTGTTAAGCAAAGGGTTGAAGGGTTATGAGGGCTATGCAAGAATGCTAATTTGAGATTGCAATCAGATCAGCCATGAATGGTGGAGCAGACTGAAGAGGCTTAATGGCCAATAAATGTTTGTGTCTAATCAGGTTGATCTCCTGGCTTGATGGTAGTGATAATAGTAATATTTCAACCAATGGCACAGCATTCTCTCAGTGCCATACTAAAATTTCTACCTTAATCAGGGGTTGGCAACTTTTTTTGTTATACCAATAAAGCCTGAAAAAAATTGTTGTATTTGCAAGACAAAAACTCTATTTCCAAATCAGTTGACTGGCATGTATTGTGGAATGTGTAATGTGCATTTTTAATAAGTTCAACGT